TGCAGGCGTCCATAGGCTGCGGTAACCGCTTACCATCAGGCGGGCCGCATGCCTGATTGCCACCGACGTGGTATAAAAAAAATGTTTTATAAGTTTAGGTCCAGTTTTGAAAAAAATATACCTTTATCCTTCTACAGTGATTTGCTACACCAGGATAAATAGTGGTTTTATTTTGTTCAGTGTCATAGGCTACGTGAAATGTGCATCTTTTATGACGCTTGGTTAAGTCTTTAAGAGCCTAGTGCACATGAATAAATATTCCGTTTATTTATTTACTAGCGACTCACCCTCACTTCGCTTCTTGTTCGTCCCTAGATAAAAACAAATCTATCCCACGGGAACCCTACATTTTTAAGGGATGATAATATTGATATATAGCCTATAGCCTTACTCAATAAAAGGGATATCTAAGGCAAAAATATTTTTTAAATCGGATTAGTAGTTCCTGAGATTAGCGCGATCAAACAAACAAACTCTGCCTCTTTGTAATATTAGTATAGATGTGCCTAAAGGTAACTTGTTACATGCATTGCCTGGAAAACCGCTGACGTCGCGCACCCTCACAAGTCACTGCTACGCGTGTTAAGACTGCATCAGCATTTCAATATCTTATATATTCCGATTGTAATAAGTAAATTGTATTTAATATGTGACTCTAATATCGATCACTATTGTTTCATAGTGTTAAGTTTAGATGTAATATTTCTAATTCAAAGTAATTTTAAATAAAGGATTAGCTAAGACTCTGGTTTTTTGATACGAGTATCCTCTGGCTGTCATAAACATAATTAACTGATGTACAAAATCGTTCGCATTAATTATTATGTAATGAAAGACCTGCCTACATTTTTGATATGTTAGTAAAGCAATTTAAAATCTATATTAAATTATAATAATAATTAGCGTCGTTATTTAATATTTAAATTAAAAAATTAAATAAAAAGCGTCTGGAAATCAATTCAAAGAAAAAAATGCCGGACTCGAACCCGCGACCGCCGGCACAGTAAGTAGGTTCACTACAAACGTGTTTTCTAATCAATAAGTCAAAAGGCGCAAGGCGTATCAAATATATTTAGATATTTGTAAATACATTAGAAATTCATGTACATGCACACCATAGTTAAAGATAATAATGCTTTGCATTCATGTCTAAACAGGTTTTTCATTTTTGTTTACATTGCCTCGGCGGGAACGTACCTATAGGTAGTTTATATACAGACTGGTAATTAAACCTCCATTTAAACTTTCAATTATTTTTAGTTAAATATCCACGTCGGTAGCTAAACTTAATGTTTCAGTATATTATTAGTACCTACAAACAAGATGTCTGATTAGATTTATTTTAGTGAACTAATAATAACATTTAATACGCTTTCGTGGTAACTTTGTTGAAACAGTTTTTATTATCGTTGCTTAACTTTAAAGTTTGTATAATCTAACAAACTTTTATGTTTATGTTTTAATATTGTCGTCCGTTCGTTTTAGTTTATTTTTAACCGACTTCCAAAAAGGAGGAGGTTCTCAATTCGTCGGAATCTTTATTTTTTTATGTATGTTCACCGATTAAGTACTCTTTTTTAATTTTTATTAGTAGAAAACCAAAATAAGTGGTTGATTAATCTCTACTAGCGTATGCCTGATTTACCAAAAATTGTATTCGTATAGAAAAGGTAGCTCATTGTTAAGAAATAAAATTACTCATGAAATATTTCCTGTTTAAAAATTTACGCTCATGGGAATGAAAGAGGCTTAAATTTGTATGGAGAAATAAGGCGATTTGTAATGAAATACTCAACTGAATGGCGTCGCGTACCTATATGTACCTATATAATACAATTTAATATCATACCTATAATAAAGCCCTCTTCAGAAATTGTGTCAACATTAACTTATGTACAATGTAGGTACTTATTTATTCCTTCTTGAAGTATTATGAAAAGGATATTAGTATTAATTGGGTATTACGGTATGATTAAAGCAATAGTATACGCAGTAGCTTCTAGCGCCTGCTTCCGCATATTTGCAGTTTACCGTATTAAAAGCAAATTATTCTATACAACTAAAAATGCAAAGAAATTTTTTCACTGTTTCATGTCTTTTATAATGTTATATTAGTCCATAAAAAGTTTTTACTTTTAAGATTTGAAATTTTTAGTTCAGTGAGCTTAATTTTTCTTTATAATTAATTATGTTCTGATAGTATAATATAGCCTTTAGGATAGAAATAGTTTTGTAATAAGGATACGAGTTCGGAAACTTAAAACAAAGTAATATGTTCTATTCCCTCTTGTGGCAAGACTTTTAAGTTCTTCTCCAGTACTAATCTTGTAATTTAAATGTAAAACTTCCTTTCGACTACGGCCTTATTCATTAAAACTTACTCTCTTTTGAAGTAATGAACTTCTAATGAATGATAACTTTACCGGAATTTGTTGTTTTTTCATTAAATCTTTATGAAATAAATACAGCAATAACTGTGTTTATTTACTGCATATATTACCTATTTACTATGATATATTTTACGTAAATAGTAAAATAATAAAAATATTCGACTTATTTTTAATTTAATTATTATTTTATTTTATTTTTTTTATTTATTTATTCAGGTAAAAACAGTCGTAAACAAAAAAAATCTAAAACAGTAAGGATACAATTAGACCTATATTACCCTAAATTATTACAAATGAACTGATTTGTCATCAAAAGTGACGGATGCTAAATAAGTATGTTTACCAAAATAAGTGAAACTAAATTAAATAAAAAAAAAATATTAAATAAAACTAAATTGAAGCTACTAAAAAAGAAACAAAAATACATATGTCTTATACAATATTTAGAAATAAATAAGTTTATACAAAATTTCCGAAAAACTAAAACATTGATTGGTTTGTACCTACTGGCAAAATATAGAAAGCAATTATAGTAATAGTAACAAATAAATTTTAATAATATTATCATAGTACAAACTATAAACAATAAAAGCCCATAGTTAGAATATTATACGAAACACTTGCTTTTTATACATACTTAGTTTACACGAAAAAATATCAACAACAGTTAAATTATTATTATAGAATGAACAAGAACGCCTGAGAAAGGTATTTTTTGCATACCTAGTATGATATGAAGGTATATGAAATGTATCTTTGGAACGAGAGGAAGAGGAGCGGGGAATTTTGAAAGAGATGAGGTTTAATAAATCTGTGGAGTTTACATAGTTATTAACAATTTTGTATAAGTATATGGTATCTAAATAATTACGCCTGGAGTGCAAAAGCTGCATATTATGTCTTGTCAAACTCTCCTCGTAGTTGGTATAATAAAAACCAGTACGATAGTCCAGAGACTTCACGAACTTCCGTTGCACTTTTTCAATTCTTTGGATGTGTACCATATATTGAGGACTCCATACAATACTTCCGAATTCGAGAATGCTTCTCACATACGCGTTATATAGTATTTTTAGTGTATTACCTCGAGTAAAAGGTTCGCTTAGACGGAGGATTAATCCTAAACGCTTAAAAGCTTTAGCTACAATTTTGTCAACATGAAGGTTAAAGTGCAGTTTGCAGTCTAGCGTGACACCAAGGTCACGAACTTCGGTTACTCTGTTCAGAGTATTTCCTAGTAATTTGTATTTATAAATATGGGGCTGATGTTTTCTAGAAAAAGTTTTTACGCAGCATTTATCAACATTAAGGAACAAATGATTATTATTACAATATTGCTCAAATTGATATAAATCTTGCTGTAACTCAAGACAATCATCATCACAACGGACAATTTTATAAATCTTGGTATCATCAGCGTATAACAAATGATGAGAGTTTCTAATGCAAGAGTTCATATCATTTATATATAAAGTAAATAAAAACGGCCCTAAATGAGAGCCTTGAGGGATTCCAGACGAGATTTCCACAAAATTAGAGACATACCCCTTGAGTGCAACAGCTTGGCTACGGTTGTTTATATATGAACATACCCATCTAAGAAGATCGCCGTGTATACCAATTCTCGAAAGCTTCCTTATTAAAACAGAATGATTAATCTTATCGAACGCTTTCGAGAAGTCAGTATACACTGCATCAACCTGATGACCTACATCAAGAGCATTAAGCAAAAAGTCAGTGTACATCACAAGATTTGAATTTACACCACGACCACGATAAAATCCATGTTGTTCGGGAGCTATTACATGATACAAGTGAGAGGTAAGTATATTAGTTATAATTTTTTCAAAAATTTTACCAAAAATGTTTAACTTTGATATGGGTCTATATTGCTTTACGTCGTGTATATCACCCCCTTTAGGAATGGGGGTGATGATAGCTTTTTTCCATATACTCGGGAAACAGCCTTCAGTTATGGACTTATTGTAAATAATAGTAAGTGGAGTTGAAAGCTCTTTACAAAGTTTTTTTATTAAAACTGGGTGAATACCATCATGACCGGCACCTTTATTTACATTAACTTGCTCAAAGTGCTTTAAGACAACTTCACGTTGAATATCAACAGTCGATATATTAACTGAAGACATATTGACCTCGTCATCAACGGCAATGTGGCTGTTAATTGTGTCAGTTTGAGGGACAAAAACTGACTTAAAATATTCGTTTAAACATGTTAGTGATTGTTTCTAGGTTATTGGAAGATACATTATTAAATTTCATTTCGGCAGGAATATTATTGGAGCCAAATTTAGATTTGACAAATGACCAAAAATATTTTGGGAAGGTTGAAATCTTATCTTCAGAGAAAATTATATATCGTTCGTAGCATTCACGTTCAACTCGTTTTTCTCGAGAACGTAAGGCAGAGTACAACTGATAATCTCGGTCATTTCGGTATTTTTTCCATTTAGAATGCTTATTCATTTTTTGTCGTATTAATTTTATAAGATTACGGGAGTACCAAGGAGGGTAATTAGAATGTGATTTAACAGTTTTTTTTGGAATATACACGTCGATTAAATTCTGTAAAATATTATAAAAGTAACTGACGGATTCTTCGGTATTTAAGGTGGCTAGATCAGCAATCCAATTGACTCGCGATATTTCTTTGCCAATCGCTTTAAAATCAGCCGCATGATAAATTAGTTTGAGACGCGTTTTTACGTTTTGTATAAAAGCATGCGTTTGTAGATTGAGAGTTATATCTAAAGATTTATGATGCGCATCCTCTGGGGTTAACGGTGTGGTAGAATTGGACACAGTGCACTTATCGCTACTAAGTACTAAGTCTAAAACTCGTCCGTTGCTATTTACACAGCCATTGTATTGCCTAAAATTGGATAAATTCATAAAATCGCACAAGTCCCCCGCTAAGCCGTCGCTATTTGTACTTAGTTTAAATGATTGAGTCGAATCGTTAAAGCTATCCCAACTAGCGTTAGAAATATTGAAATCTCCAAGTATTAGAAAATTATCATTTAGATTATTTTGCAAAATGTCAAATGTGTTGTCGTAAAAGTTTTGTAAAGATTCAGAATGATTGTTACCGTGCGGGAAGTAACAGCAAGCTACATGCAAGTTGGAGGAAGCGTTAGCGGCGCGACAGGGTCGGGGCGCGGGGCGGGAGGGGCGCGCGGCCCCCACCGCAGCGGTCGTGGCGGCGTCAAGCTCGAGCGTCACCCATAGCTCCTCGGCGGCGGGCCTCGAGCGCCACTCGGGCCGGGGCCGCGCGCGCAGTTCGCGTCGTGCCGCTATGAGCACGCCGCCGCCCCGCGCGCCCTGCCCGTCTGTGGATTTCCTATCTTGCCTAAAAACAATGTATTTGGTATGGAAGTATTCTGCATCGTGATAATCCGGAGTTAGCCAGGTTTCGGTCAAGACAATTAAATCGTAGTCGCTCTGTAGAACATTAGCTAAGAAGGAGTGTGATTTAGTGCGTAATCCTCTTACGTTCTGGTAGTAAATTGATAAGGAATTAAACGAAATCAGATTGAATATATAAAATATACAAACAAGACAATTATGATATATAAATAAATTATTATATAAAAAAATAATAATATTGTGATAAATTCTGAGGTATTGTAAAGTACCTTTCTCGGGCTTGTATCGTTAAAATCTATAAAAAAGAACATAAAGGACAAAAATATAAAACAATATGATTGGCAGTATGTAATACCAATTAGTATTTCTTTATAGTTGTTGATAAAATTCGTGGGTACAATATATACAAATAACTGGTGTATGTGAGTGATTTTTGTTGTATCTATTGCTATTGATAAGTGCATGTATTTCTGCATAATGAATATCAGATAATAATGAAATAAATTAATAACAAAGACGTTATGCGTTCGGAGTAAACATAAGAAGCTTATTTTAGAACAATGCGTAAAACATAAGGGAAAAAGAAAAAATAACATTATAAATATTAATAAATCGACGAACAACGATGACACAAATAGTCATTTAATTTTAAGTAGGTCACTCTCGCACGAAATACGTATGATATTAGAATTATCATTTTTACGAATAAGTATCTTGCTGTCTTTAACCCACAAGTATGAATAGTTTTTTTCGAGTTTAAGTTCGCGTGCTCGCTTTAGTAGTAGTTTGTTCGTTGGAGTGAGGTGATCACCAATGTACACGGTGCTCGCCGGGCCGGGCAGTCCGATGTGTGCGGTGGTGAGGCCGCGGCGCGCGCGCACGGCTGCGATCAGCTGATCCTTGCGCCGCCGCTGGCAAAACCGCACTATAATAGACGCCGGCCGAGTAGGTTCATTGTTGCTTTCCGTCCTACTCGATGGGTATGGACGAACTCGATGTATAGAATCGATATCATGATCGCTCAGTTGAAAACCCACAGTTGCGCATAAGTCATTTAATATTGTATAGACGTTTTCACCTTTCTTTGTCGGTATACCGGAAATTTCTATGTTGTTCTGTCGCGAATATTGATCGTGTGAATTATTTTGCGCTTTTAATTCAGCTATAGTTTTTTGTGTCGATAATAAGTCTTTTTGCACAATGGATAACGTAGATAGTTTTTGCTCTGAAGAGGTCAATCTACGATCGAATTCAATAAATCGACCTTCCATTGTGTCAAGTTTGCTGCTCAATTCTTTTATATGTTGCATGGTGCATTGAATATCAGATTTTATGTTAGTAAATTCTACCTTCATCGTGCTAAAATCGTTACGAAAACTTTTTATCTCTTTTAACACGTCTGACAAAGAGGGGTGTGTCTCCGTGAGTTGAGGTGAACGGCAAGTAATGCACCGCCAGCCGGCTTTTTTTTCCACTCCCATTTTTCTGTAGCTAAGCTCCGAAACCCCGGCACAAACATAGTGGTACTGTCCACCGCACTTATTGCACAACACAAAATCCTCAACAACATCGTTGCACTTTGGGCAGATCATATTATTAAACTTTAAAGTTCAAAAAACAAATATATTAATAATTTGTAATTTGTAAGTAGGTAAATGTAAATAAACTAAGGAGCTGATTTATTGCATCCGTCACTTACGAGAGCGACAACCGGACTGAAATTTAATAAAGAAAATATTAATTACTTAATATTTTCTTTATTCATGGCTTCAAATGTGGAACAACACTTTTTTTTAAGTATTTTAAGTGAGGCTCGGACTCTTAGAGTGTACATAAGTTATGTATACTCTAAGCTCGGACTAAAGAATTACATACACGGAGCTTGCCAAAATAAATGTCAAAGTCAAAAATAGTAGCGTGTTATGCTCTTTATGCTACTATTCTCGATTTTGCCATACAGATCATTAACTTTTAAAACAGACAGGAAAATTTTATATATGTACTTGTATTGTATTCAGCCCTTTTTAACGTCCCACTGCTGGGCACTGGCCTCCCTTCAATACGAGGGGGATCAGGCCATAGTCCACCACGCTGGCCAAGTGCGGGTTGGCGGACTTCACATGTCTTTCGAAAACTTGCTAAGTTCTCTCAGACATGCAGGTTTCCTCACGATGTTTTCCTTCACCGTAAGGCAAGTGGTAATCATGTTAGAAATGATTCGCACATGAAAATATCAGAGGTGAGAGACCCGGGATTTGAACCCGCTTCACTCGGTTTCCCAAGCGAGAGCGTTACCACTGGGCTACCACTGCCGTTAATATGTATGTATGTATATGTATTATTAGTTGTTAATTTATAATTTTTGAGAAGAAAATATTATAATTAAAAATAAAATTATATCATTTTGTATTTCTTGAACATTCCTTCTCTTTTCCTTTAAAGATTTAGAGATAGTATAATATTAACTTATTTATTGATTTTTTTTCTTTATTATAATAAAATCCGTTAGCTGTTTTTATTTATTAACATTTATTATCTACTTATCACAGTATTGAGTATCCTATTAATATTTGTGAACTGTTTTAAAATTTATACATATAATAAAATTGTAACTAAGCCGAATCTGTACATTAGATATTTTTTGAAAAATCTTATTGAGATAAACATTATTATCGATACAGAAGCCGAATCTATAGTTTTTAGAATTTTTATCCGTCTGTCTGTTACCGCATTACAGAAAAACCACTGGAGTGGTTTTGATGAAATATAGTATGATTATAGCTGGCTATCCGGGCAACATATAGGACACTTTTTACCGCGGGGAAATACCTCATTTTTGAGAAAAAATACAATAACTGCATTGTAAGAGTATACTAATATGTAAAACCTTAGAATTTGGTTTTTGGTCATCTGAACGTGGGCGGCGCCGCGGGCAATGGTAGTATTATATTTTATTTTAAATCATTATTCTTTGGTTTCGTGTTTAGTTCTATGACACTCTGTCTATATTATTATTCTTTAGTCTGAGACGTGGGTATTATACTTAACTAAGTTAAATACCTTTTTTAACTTTTTTAAACTTTTTTGACATGAAGCAGTTTCTTAACAAAAGAACTAATAGAAGCCAATTTTCTACTTTCTTTTAAGTTTAGAAGCTTAGGTACTTATAATAGACTCGTTCGTAGTCGTTAGAGTACGTTTGCAAGAGTGAGGTGAATTTTCAATTTTCAATTTAGGTTTAATTTTTATAAAACAACAATCATCCCATAGCTACCAATTTAACCTCTTAAATATATTATTTATTTTATTTTCATTCAGCCCTTTTTAACGTCCCACTTCTGCTGCTGCTCTCTTTAATACGAAGGGGATCAGGCCATAGTCCACCACGCTATATTTTTTTTATATATATATATATGTATATATATGTATATATTGTAATGTATGTGTAATATATATTTATTGTAATTTATATACATTTACTATTATTACAATCAAGTACAGTTTGATTTACGTTGTTAACCTGAATAGCATGTTGATTGCGGTCGTTATGCTCCAATTCATTAAGGATCAGACCAGTGTTTTCTAACCTTTGTTGTCATTCACAATTTTCGAGATTTAGGTATATTGTTTCCTCTTTAAGAAGCAATATTAGCAAGTATATAGAAAAGTACGAATTGGGCATTATCTTATATAATATCTGCGAGAGTTATGACGAAATGTCTTGCATAGAGGGTTCATAATGAAATAGAAATGATTACAAATAAGTCAATTTGATTTTCAACTCATCTTCTCTCAATCTAACTTTAAACAAACCAGAGAATTTATCCTTTGTTGAATATTCATGTATTGAAATATGTAAATTTTCTACGCTGCTAGAACAGGAAAGTATGACAACATTTTCCACTAATTTATAAATATTTCATCATTAAACTGAAAGATCCTGTTTAATGTATGTTGTAATAACATATGGACATTTATAATACATACTATAAAAGTGATTCTTTATTAAATCACATTGATGCTCGAGTAAACTACGCTGTATTCGAGCTAAAAATTATATATTAGTCATATATATAATAAAACCATTAAAAGGGCCTTTTGCTTCGTTATTACATAAAAAGAAAAATAAACCAAAAATTATCATTTTTATTTTCGTATTCACGTTATTATTTAAAAATTTCAACACCGACCACCAGATCACCGAAATCAGTCAAATTTGTATGTACGAGTACATATGTATACAAAAATATTTTGTCATACTCGTATTTCTCCTAACAAGTCGTTAAACTCCCTTAATGGGGTAACTTCCCCTAGGTATAGAATCACTGATTTAGATCGGCCTGAGTATAAACTGATTCGGTTGTAAGCTACAATCTTGCAATCGAAACTTAACTCAAAGTTATATTTGTTATGTTGTTCATTATTAAGTGAAATGATGAAGACGTAGTTTTACAATTTCTGACTGGTGTTATTCTGTCTTCAGTAACGTGGTTGTAATAATTGTTCTTTTAAGAGATACATAAGTAGAAACACATAACTCCATTTAAGTGTAAATTATAGAATCATTGTTTAATTTCAGGATTATTGTTGAATATGAGAATCATGTTATTAGAAAATAAACAATGTGTGATACAGAGTTTTTGAGATACAAGTCACACTCGCACTTGGTCGTTCTTTATAGTAAGATAGGATAAGTGTGGTAGATAATATGGCTAAGAAAATAATTGTAAGTAGGTACATATTATGCCTATCCGTCAATAGAATGGAATTATTTCATTCCTCCAAGAGAGAGTATTTTGTACGCTTCTTTGATGTACTTATATTGGAAATTCTACACAAACTTGACCTATTTTATTCTGATTATACTCGTCAAGTTCATCGGATGTAGTGGGTACTTTCGACGTGACGCGGGATGAATACTAATATTACAAACAGAAAACTTGCTGACATCTTTGTTAGTTTAACTTAGAAACAATTTAGATGAAGTAAAACAATTCTATCAGATTCTCTAAGGGCTGAAGTTGGTAACCCCCACAATATAAACTTTACCTTAGGAAAAGTATATAACAAAAATCGGTCAAGTGCTAGTCGTTTCGCACTATTTTTAATTAATATAACAAGACTTTTACTCTATGTTTGTAGTATACTAGCTTATGATCGATTACGGACGTTTAAAATTGTTTCTTATATTATTATATTTGTACGTTGTTGTAATTAAAAACGAGCGAGTATGTTTAAGTGTACTGTAAAAAAGTAACTAAATATGACACACTGATATAATATACATAATAATGTACTTAGGTAAATTTTCATTGACATTAAGTTTCTATTACATATTAAATCGAGATTAATTTTCAAAAAATCGAAACACTTCTCTTCACTAAAATCGATTTATTCGGATAGGTAAATGTAAGGTTGCCACAGACAGGCATAAAAAAATCAACTCGTTTCACAAAAGCTATACTAGTATCTGAAACTAACAAGTAAGCAAAATTGAACTGATTTTGTTCATCTCCGAATAAGTAGTACTAATAGTTGATTATGTAATTTTTAAGCACTTTTATAATAACAAATATTCTTATAATGGTATCGTTATAGGCACTATAATATTTTATTTCAATTTATTTTTTTGAAATAATTTTCAAAGCTTTGTATATATAATTGTTTGTAAATTGCAATTACAATTTAATTTCACGAGGCTATCTCTTATTTAAAATGTCTTCCAGTCGAGGGTTTGCTGATAAAAATCTTACTAACAATAAAATTGTAGGTTCAATATCTGCCTTATTGTTTTCTCGTTTCATTTTGGGCCTTTCAAATTAGAATAGATAACGTTATCTAAAATGTTTGCTATCTATATAAATAAAATAAATTCGGGTTAGTTACACCATTTATAACTTAAAAAGGGTTGGACCGATTTTTATGATCATTGATTTGTTAGATTTTTCTCCGCCCCAAATAACAGAATTATAATTATTAAAAAATCGGAATAATGTACGAAAAAAAAATTAAAATTTATATGGCTAACGCTGGCTAATAGCTATTTATATCTATTAAAAATGTACCTAGGGGCACACCCGAGTAAGGCGAGGGTAAGTTGCTAGTCTATATTAAAAATAAGTTAAGTTTTGTAAATCCAAACTAATATTATAAATGTGAAAGTGTGTTTGTTTATATGTCCTTTTACATCAAAACAGAGTGACGGATTGGTGTGGTTTTTTGTGTGGAGATACCTAGTTGGAGGGCTGGACTGGTGGACTGACATAGGCTACTTTTTATTGCGGGATATTATGTCCTTCCCACGGGAAAACACATTATAATATAACCTAAAAATATTTATGATCAGAATTACTTGAAACTTGGTATAAATGCTCTTCAATACAATTAAATAAATAGGTGTTTTATCATTTTTCGAAATTCATCCCATAAGTGGGGTAAAATAGAGGATGAAAGTTTGTATGAAACGGACCAACTTAGTGTTTTTTTTGTAATTTAAGCGCGAGCGAAGCCGCGGGTTCTGCTAGTATAGTATATAAAATACATAAGATAGTTTTAAAACTGCCGTTTTGTAAGCTATTTTCTTGTGATGCAT